GACTACATACATTACAAAAGGTAACATAATGCATTAGTTTGACGAAAGAATTTTTGACTGACCTTAGTCACTCGAAGGATTGTGCTGCTGCTTGAAATGGTCTGAAGTGTACCATCATGAAAGACGGAGGAAAGTGTTATGTCTTTCCCACTCGAGTCCAGAAGACCAACAACCACTGGAATAAATGTAGGCTCTTTTGTTGGCTGGCCCGGAGTAGGTGGTATCTCCTGACTGGAAACGTTATCAATTACAAAGCAATGTTTCAACAACAAATTCAATAAAGGTTCAATTTAAAAGGTAGGGCATTAGGCTTGGTGCATAGTCATTTGGTAAAATAGATCAGACATGATAAGAACAGACCTGAATTTCAAAGAAAAGGTACGAGCTTCAGCATTGTAAGAGGATGCCACTTTGACGACTGGCGTTCCAGCTTGAGAGTACCTACATATTAATATTTTGTGTATGCTTAGTAGTATGAAAACATTAACCTTCACAAGACATTCCACAATAGGAATAAGAGTTACCATTGCAAGAAATTAGCAAAATCTGCATTGTTTGCATCACGCATAGCAGCAAAGAAGTCTTCACAGGTCACAGCTTGCTCATCATGTCTTTGAAAATAGAGATCCATACCCTAAAATACATTAACACATAGAGGTAAGCGGAAGGAACACGAAATATAGACCTAGCTACTGGATTCACACAAATAAAAGAGTATTGGAAAGCAACCTTTCGGAAACCCTCTTTTCCTAGTAGAGTTTTGTACATCCTCACAACCTCAGCTCCCTAAGAAAAAACATTATGCAGTCAGCTAAGATTTCTTGCTTGCTGCATATAACAGCAACATTATAATCGAAGAGCCAAACCTTTTCATAAACCTGAAAAGACAACAAAAAACAAATCATTCTGTTAGAACAAATATGTAAGGGGTGATAGGAAACGAAACTACATATGAACTAGAATTCTTAGATCCCTACCGTCACTGAGAGAGCAGGTGATGGCCAGACACGTAACCCAAGTTTGGAACAGTTACAAAAACACAAACACGTTAGAGTGGAACACAACACTGAGAGTAACCTAATGAAATCCTACAAGAGATTCCAAACAGAAACTTGCCTGTGTAGAAGTTGTCCATCTGTCAGAAAAAGATAAAGAGCCATGTTTATCAACACAGAACGTAACATGTATAACAATTTTCAAGGCGAGAGAAGTAACAAGAATCACTAACCTTGATGTATGAATGTGGGCGAACAGGATGTGCCATAGGACCAGCATCCTGGAAAATCAAACAACAGAGGAATTTGGCTTGGCAAAAAAACGAAACAAACCCATGTAGTGGCCTAAAGGAGTACAAGACTACGTACCTGCGGGAATTGATAGATCCTGAGCTTTGAAACATCAGCAATGCGCTTTACAGTACGGCTTCCCATGTCAGATGAAAACTCCTGTAACGAATTTGAGAAGTATAATCATTAGACAAAGTAATTTTTGCAATGCAAAACTTTAAATTATGAAGGATAAATGTACCTGGTCACGGAATACAGTAAGACCTTCCTTTAGACTGAGTTGGAACCAGTCACGGCATGTCACCCTGTCATCACAAATAGTGCTTTAGTCATAAACCAGGCCGCATAATAATAATGTCTATATCTTATTGTACAGATATAAGAAAAATTGGAAGAATCAATCATTTGTAATAAGGGAGGATAGATGAGGTTGACCTGTTGCCAGTCCAATTGTGGAAATACTGCACAGCAAAAAGAAAAATTTAATAGAAAAAAATCATACACAATATAAGATTTCAATAAACAGTATACTGTACGACTACATACTTCATGACCAATAACTCCCAAAATTGCAGCATAATCTGCATCTGTTGCAGTTTCTGGAGATGCCAGGACAAGCTTGGAATTGAAAATCTGCAAGGTCAAGGTGCTCATGGATTTCCATCAGATAGAATACCAACACAACTACGCTATTTGTATAAAGAAAAGTAGTATTACATTCAAACTCTTGTTTTCCATGGCTCCCCTGAAAAATGAACAGAAATCAATTAGTTTGATTATTCTCGACAATAGGAGAGATGGGCGTGATCGTCTTTGGAATAGGCATAAGCGCAGTTCTATTAAATAGATTTCTTTATTTTGGATATAAACTATTGGTTCATACATGTTGAAATCTGGAACGGCGACAATGTTGAAGAGATCCAGGTCATACTCAAGGCCAAACACCTAGAGGAAAAAGTTAACGCACAAAACTCAGATTCGGTACCCAAACAAATACATGCAATTGCAATATAAGAAAAACTTTTGAAAGTACTTACATCTTCATCCCACTTCATGGCCGCCTTCAGAGAATACATGGCATGAGCCGTCTTTGGTAGATCTTCTGCAGGAGTCCAGATTTTCAGAGATACCTCCCTACCAGAGCGTGTGGTAAATGTATCATCTCTGCTCGCTAGCTGTCCAGCCACCAGAGCAAAGAGATAGCATGGCTTCTTGAATGGATCCTCCCATAAGGCAAAGTGCCGACCTCCCTACATTTCAATGAAGAGATATGCGTTCAGTGAAGACAAAGATGAGAGGACATTTAGTCTGTGTTTTAAAAAGCGCATGGCGAACCAAGGCGAGACGGTCTGTGCCTTGCGCCTTGGGCCATGGCGAACCAAGGCGCTCGCCTTGATGACCAAAGTGGAAATCTCGAAAGTTGTTTCAATGATTTAGTCCCAAAAAGCGTAACTATTTTGCTACCTCTATGTCTCCTTGAGAAATGAGGTTTCCATTGGACAACAAGACAGGATAAAGTGACTTGTCAGCTTCAACACGGCATGTGTACTTCGCCATAATATCAGGACGGTCCTAATCATTGCAAATTAAAAACACTATGTAAGAACATCAATGGTACTATATCAACAAGAGTCATCTTATATAGAAGTCGCAACCAACCTGGTAAAATGTGATCTTCCGGAAACCCTCTGCTTCACATTGTGTGCAAAAATTCCCAGATGACTTGTACAGCCCCTAACAGAATAAACTTGAAAAGGTTAAAATTGTTCTGGTAAATCATTAAGATAACAAAATAAAGAGTAAACGAGCAGATGCAGAAAAGTTTACATCAAGTGAAGTATTCTTGTGGGGGTATATCTCAGTATCAATTTCGAGAACAAAGGACTCCTCGGCCGGCAGTGAAGGTAGAGTGAGATGACGAGAGTCCAACTTGTAATCCCCTTCCTAGTCAATGTTAAGGAGAGACCAGTAAGCAAAGAAAGTTGAGTTTAGTAGAGAAAATTGTATTACGTATAGAACATCAGAGTGAGCCCAAAAATCTGCCAGACGTTTAAGCCTTAAATGGATACCTTTAGAAGATTCCCATCAACCTTGACAGAAAGTAGCTTCAAGTCATGCCCATCCAGGACCAAGGGAGCAGATGATCCTGGGCAACAGAATACTTGTTCAGAATGCGATGTGAAAGAAAGAAAGAATACATTTAAAGTGTAAAAAATAAAGCTGAATATTCAGCATAAATGTCAAAAACAAGTAATTGTACCTTTAACTCGAGGGGTAACCTTGATTTTGGAGCTAACAATGGTTTTCTCTTCACCTAGAGAGAAGCTTAGATCCACCTAAACAACAGACAAACAAAAAAACAAGGTTCAGATCAGAAAACAATAGTATTCTACTAATCTCTCAATAGGAGGTTAGAGAAGGGTAGCATACAGTTTCAAAGTAGTAATCAGGCTTGGTGTAGTCCTTGAGAAATATTTCCTTAGGTGCATCCATATTGGATTCTTCAAGTTTATCCGGAACTGATTCAGTGGCAACAGAACAAATCAGCCTCCTGCTGCTTTGATTCTTATATCTCTGATATAAAAACAGAGAATATATTTAGATTTGCTCAGAAATCCAGCAACTTTGGGTTATAAATTATAATAACGAAAAGGATAGAAGAGTTACATCAACAGGGTGTGATAGAAACCGATTCTTGCTCAAACAAGTAACCTGATACAAACAAACAAACAAACAACAGTTAAAGATAATTCTCAATTTAGTTTGAAGAAAACAAAATAAAATAAAAAGAGACAGAGAAAGAGAAACCTGGGAAGTAAGAAAGGGTGTGTATTGAGTAAGTCTCTTTGCTGAGTTACGTAATGGAAGACAACGGGGAACCTACAAGATAAGAGTTGAAAGATAGTTAAAACACAAAAGTTGAAATAAATACAAAATCAACCAAGAGAATGGAAATTAAATCATTTCGATTTAGCTTGTTCAGAATCAATTAAACGTTTATGGATTTGTCGTATCTACAGTAATCAAACGAATAAAAAAACTCAAAACAGGAAGAGTTAAAGGATAATCACAGGAGGAGCGTGAGGGAGTAAACCCAGAAGGTTGAACCTAGTGGCCAGAGACGAAGAACTTCGACACGGAACTATCAGCCGAGCCATTAAACTAAATAAATAGCGATTAAATAAAAATCACACTGCTCCTAACAGCGGCGAACTATATAAAACCCTAGAGAACTCTCACTACAGAGAATCAAACACTTCGTAATAGATCAGATAAATAGCCTGCTACACGCATCTTGTGTATTATTAATATATGGTCACGGAAATTCCATATTTAATTTAACCCAAAAACAAAAGGAAAACAAAACAAAACCAAAAAAAAAACACTGATCTCGTGATTTCGAGTGATGATAAAAAGAAAAAATCTGGGAAAATCGAGATTCAAAGAGGGAAGAAGAGTTTATTACCGAGATCCGATGATGAAATGAAAAGAGGCTCAATCAATCAAGAATAAGAGAAACCTTGTACTGATATATATACAAGAATAAGATATTTATTCGGCAAAAAACAAAAAGATAAAAATGAGAAACAGAAATTGTTTTTTTTTTTAATTATTTCGTTGTATTTTGTATTATCCAGTTTCCTATCCCACTTCTTTAGCACCTCGAGGTTACTCAGAATTTTTTTTTAAAAAAGATTCGCTTTCTTTATTGGTTAACATAGTAAAACACAAACTGAGAAGTAATCATTACTAATTATAATCATCCAAGAATGAAATTTTCTCTAACAACACATCATCAAACAGAATTTGACAAAGACTGGTCAAGTGTTTGTTAAGAAGCGGTGAATTTTAGCAATCATTATTGACCGATAAAGCGGCGTCTTTTAGCAGAGTTCATGTATGGTCTAAGAGCCCATTCCACCTCTGCTTCCTCTTGATCCATTGTTCCCAACTTCACCTGCAAAAAAAAAAAACAGCTTTGATATTAAAGGTCCTAACAGAAATATACAACACATTTTCAATATACAATCTACACAAACCAATTTTCTTTTGTCAAACAACAACATGATTAATTCCTATGTAAACCGAATAATGCATTAATATACCTGGTAGAGCCGCAACTCAAACCGAGGACCGACTTCTTTTAGCTCTATCGATTTTAGGCCTCCTCCTTCTCCTTTATCATACACATGATTCCTATATATATATGTATATGCCCACAATCATTTTCTACCAAGAATCCACACAAACAAAGAGAAAAAAACCATTACCTGAAAGAAATATAATCAGATTTATTATGAAAAGTAACTATACGTCTTGCATCCAGTTTTGGAACTGGGAACATGTGTTTTAACATGCTCGCAACTCTTTTACCCATCTGCCCCCCAAAAGAACAACATGTAAAACAGAGTAAATCAACTCTACAAAACTCGTTTGAATTGCAGTTAAATAAGAAAGTAAATCTGTTCTACAGAATATACCTGGCCTGTAAAGTTGTCAAAAATGACATGAGGATATTGCTCAGACACTTTTCCCATTGCTTTCTTGCTTCCAATTTCATGTCTCGTTACCTAAAACAAAAAGGGACTCTGGATTAAGTAAGCAAAAGCATTGGAGAATTGTAAAGAAGAGAGATTTGAAAAACCAGAAAAAAAACCATAAGCTCGAATAGGTACTTACCACGTTAAGTAATTCAAAGTAGGCAGTTGGTCCGAACGGGAGATGAGAGACAATAAGACCATCAGGCTTACCACGGTTCTCAGTAACAAATATCACATCACTATAATCATGCGAACGAGCTGCTTCAATAATCTCAGAAATGACCTGCACAAAGAAACAAATGAAAATATAAACAATATGGATACTGTGCTGTATAAAAGTTACTACAACTCCAGCTTAATTACTGATTGTTACTATTATTCACATTCCCAAACTAAGTCATCTACACGTTCAAATCATTGAACCTATGTTATGCATAACTGGACCGTGGTCTGATGTAAATAAAGGCATATGCGATAGTTACAGCCAGAAATCAAAATGGTCCAAAGGGAGATAATACCATTAGAGCTTAATTTAACGACAAATATGAGAAACTACAAGCAGTGACTAACTGGAAAACAAAACCGGACTATAGAAGATTAGGATTATTAGATGAAGTACACAAGGAAGAAGAAGACTGAAGACACATACCTGACTACCACGATTCACTCTCGTGGCGTTAGGAAATACAATATTCAATTCCTGCAGTTAAAGGTTATAAATCAATCAACATGCAAGCAGAAAATCACTAGCCAAAAACATTGTAAAAGTAACATTGAAGAAAACAAGCGCCACATAAGAATGTTTAACATCTATTCAACGAGTACTGAAACTTAAAATCAATATACCTTAACAAATCGCGATAGAGGAGCACTTGGATCCCTAGAGGTAGTCAACAAAATCTTGGGTTCTTTTTCCGTTGCTTTTGCATATTCATCATCAATTTGACTGCGTGGAGCTACTTTCACAGAATGATTAGACAAAGATTAGCACTACTGCGACAAACCATAATTAATGACACTGACAACAAGAGTTTCAAACGAACGAACGTATATTATCGTTTAATTATCAAAAGAAAAAAGAATGTAACGTATACTAATTACGAAATTGTGCGTATACTAATTACGAAATTGTGCTTCACCAAAACAATGAGGATTCTTACCGGAGGTGTTTTGATCTTCAAGATCAATCTCCTGACGAAGCTTCGCCTCCACGTTTCGGAGCTCTGTAGGAATCGGCTTCCCTTCTGTTCAAACATAAACCCAAATCAAAACAAAAAACGAAAGGGAAACGAGTCAATGAACACTGAGAGGAAACCATTATATAGAGATTGCTTAACAGAGGTTGAAAAGAAAAATAATAATCAATGGACCTTGCAGGGCTTCCCTTATCTTCCGCATCTTATCATAGAGCTGACGCTCTTCACCTTCCAAGCTTTTGATGTAAATATACTCCTTTCTTAACCTAATGTTCCTGGGCAACCCCATCTTGATTCGTCGTGAGAGAGAGAGAGGCTACGATGGAACTTGCTTGGTTTGTGGCGTTTTAGGGTTTAAGGAACGGGTTGCAAAAGAGGCAGGAGGAGGAAGTCTACGATGGACCTTGCTTGGTTTGTGGCGTCTTAAAATAAACGACACAGTGTTTGTCTCTGAAAAGGTGAAACAGATAGCAAGCTACTTTTGGCTGTTTAGTATGTGAGCCCTATATAGGCCCAAGCAAAACAACACTTCCAGATTGAGAATTCGGAAGAAAAAAGAAAGTACGAACTCAAGAACTCAAAGCCAAACAACATTATCTTTTGTCACTGAGCTAATAGCAATTCTGATGAAATCTCTAACATATTTCCTTTTATTGAGTATCCAAAAAATCTTTAAAAACCTTAAAGTCTTACAAAATTCAAAAAATCAAGAAAAATTCTGAAAATATTAAAATTAAAAAATCAAATTAAAAATCAAAATTTATTTTTTTCGTTAAAACTAATTAAAAAAATTCAAAAAATCTAAAAAATCCAAAAAACAAATGCGAAAAACTAATGATTAAAAAGATGACAAAAAGAACTAATGATTAAAATAATTTAAAAAATATTTTTTATAAAATTTAATGTATCTAAGATCCTTTGTGTATTTTATCTTAAAAACATTAATCATACGAAAATATAGTGTGATAAATATAATTTTGTATATTATCTTATATGCATTCATTTATATAAGAGTTTTCAAATTATTTTAATCATTAATTTTAATTTTTTGCATTTGAATTTTTAAAAAATTTGGAAGTTTTTTTATAAATTAATATATTTGAGATAAAATACATACATTAATTTATATAAAAATAGATTTAAAATTTTTAATCATTAAATTTAATTCGTTGCATTTCTTGGAATTATTTTAGATTTTTGAAATTTTTAATGTTTTGATTTTTTAAATTTTGTAATTTCAATTTAAATTTTACCTTTTCAAAATTTTCTTGAATTTTTAAGATTTTTTGGAATTTTTAAAAAAGAATTTACATTTTTCAAGATTTTTTTTGATACTCAATAAAAGAAACCATGTTAAAGATTTTCTTAAAGTGCCTCTAGAACAGTGGTAAGAAACCTTGTAATTTGGCCATGAGTTCGGGTTTGACTCAAGCGATCAACATGTTTTTGATAATAAAAAAGGTAAATCGATGTCGTTTCATCCCATCTCAAAACGACGTCGTTTTATCTAACAACCTTATCAACCGTTGTTCAATCATTCTATCAAGTTTACTAACGGCGTGTTTAATTGGCGAGTCAGCGATAACTTACTGATTAAAGTTTAAAAGTCAAATATAGTTTAATGTTTTTTTGACCAGCCAATATGTTCGTGTTTGTTTAACAATTCATGTAAAGTTAGAGTTTTTTTTTGGACGAATTCCCCTTCCAAATTCTACCTTCATGTATTTACTATTTTACTGCGTCCTAGCTATATATTTTTTGTTGACATCAAATACAAGTAATAAAAGGAGAATAAAAGCTCAATTCAACCTATCACATTATCAAATTCAATCAAACAATAAGAATATTTCAATTTGACATGTCACACAAAGGCACACTTCAAGTTATAAAACTATAGTATGTTAAGTTTGAATAACTAAATTTCATCAGCTCTGGTGGTACTTTTACTTTGATTAACACCCCTTATTTTACATCTATTTTATTTAAAAATTTAAGGCCAGTTTAGTTTTAAACCATGTTTAAAATCATTCTAGCTCCAACCACTGATGTCACCTAAGCTTTTGTCGACCGGATCTTAAACAGGTCATTCATTTGGGCTCGGTATTTTCATCACTGACCCATCTAAAATCCACATCGTCAACCCTGGCTTTCTTTAACGTTAACGATGGTGATGATCGACTTCGGCACTTCCACTCCCTGCAAATCTCTCTTTCTTCTCTGAATAATCATGACCCAATCTCAATCTTACTTCTGTTCTTAAATCCCTTTTAGATGATTTTGTTTCACCTCCTACTGTTCCTCTTCCTAATTCAGTTCAACAACTAAATCTCAAATCGCCTATTCCGTAAAGCCCCTGATTCTCCTCATCATCCTCCTCTTCCATATTCGTCTTCTCCACTGTCTCTTATTCGATGATATTTTCTTTAACAATCTGTAAGATTATCATTCTCATAGCAGGATTCTGCCGGCTGACCTACGTGGCTAACCAGCATCTTGGGCGAAACTATCCACGGCCGTTCCAATTTGGATCGACATTTTTGAAAATGTTAGGACATTCATATATTAAAATTACAGTTCTCTCTCACACTTGACTGGTTACATGTCTTCATTCTAGAGATTGATTTCAGATTTTTCATTTTCATAACACTCATATTGTCTTCTTTTTATTTGTTCCTCCGGTAACAACCAATGCTAAAGGAAGCGAGAAGAAGGAATACACCACCATGGTAAAACTTTTGATTTTCTTCTGAATTTTCTAAAACTAATAATAACGTGACTAAATCTCTGCTTTTGGTTTCAGCCAGTGCATTGGTTTTCATGGACTCCAAAACCAGAAATTTCATAGGTTAGTAGCTGAGTATTGGAAGTTTATGTAGGTCATTCTGATGACTAAGACAAGAGTATTCCGCAATGTTCTCGTTACTGTATTTTTTCCCATTCTCTTATTAATTGTTATCACAAAAGATTTTGTTTCTCATCACTTTGAGTGATTCACTTGCAGGAGATATGTCTGCCTCAAAAGATGTCGTGTCCTTTGATTTTATAAAAAAAGAAGTTTATATTAAGATTAGATACACTCAGAATTCGTTTAGTAGTACCGCAATTGGGAAAATTTCTATTACAGCCTAAAGAGTAAGCATTGACTATTTCAATTTAGAACCCTTCTTCAGATGTAATGCATAAACCTTATAACAATGTAAATATCACCATCTGCAGGGAAAATAATTTTACATGTATCATGTGGTAAAAAGCTGCGGAAGTTAAATAAAAGTGGAAGTACCCCTTCTTTACTCTTGGTGACAACCATGTATCCAAAAAGAGTTGGAAGTAAATCAGTGTCGTCACATTTTCCAAACCTAACATTTTTGTTTCTTTTTATTATTTTGAGATTTCATTGTAGTTTTTTTTTTGTAAGAAAAGCTACACTGCTTAGTTGTTTGTTTAATTTACCTCACCCTCATACTACTGTCTATCATGTTTGTTTAAAGTTATGGAGTTTTTTTTTTTTTAAATAACATCTTGTGTTTAGTATGACTATTAGTGTTTATTTTAAAAATAATCAACCGGTCGTGTTTCTTTTAAACTCAAATTGATTTTTGTTTCCAAATTACGGATCGAATTGTTTTTAAGTTGCATGTCATTTTTCTGCTTATTAGTGTTGGCTTTAAAATTACAGGTTGTTTTTTTGTTTTTAAATTAAATTTGTGTTTATTTCCAAATTACTAATCGTCTTTTTTTTTGGACTGCAGTCATGCTTCCTCTGCTTATTAGTGGTGTTGAAATTACAGGTCGTGCTTGCTTTTAAATTACAAGTCATGTTTTGTCTTCTAATTAGTGTTTCTGTGTTTGTCTTTAAACTAAATCTTAGGTCGTCTTTGTTACCATTTACTGTACGTATTTATTGCAAATATCTGATTGTCTTCGTCTTTAGCTAACATGTTGTGTTAGTTCTATCTGTTAGCGTATGTTTCTAAATGGAACATCTTGACGTGGGTATTTTAAAATTTCAGGTACCAAGTAGAAATATCTATCTAGAACAATTAATTTAAACAAGATATATATAGTAAGTAAATAAATAATATTATTGAACTATATGATGTGTAATTGTTAGGTTAAACATACAAGTAATTGTGTAATGCATGGAGAAGACAAAACACCGAACACAAACCAATTAAATTTATAATATTTATTAATATAGTTAATCAAAATTTTTAAATCCATCCAAAATTATTTGATAGAGCAAAATTTACTCACCTAGCCATGCATTTATTAACACTGTAAAAAGACCTTCGATAAAAGTGTGGGTATCTGGAAACTTTAAACATGAACGATCCTTAATGGTTGTGTTTGTTTTTACAGGTTTTTTTATCAAATAACATATAAAACTTTCTTATATTTAAATAGATTTTAAAAACAAAACAAAACAAATTCTATAATAGATAATCTACGCGTAGCACGGACAAATACTCTAGTATATCCGCGTTGAATTTGTGGAAAAGATCATCATTGATTTGATGATGGAATTAAGGAAGTGTAATTGTTTTTCTTCAAATGTAATGGCTTCCAGATTTTTTGCCGAGTTTGGAGAAGTTAGCAATGATAAGTCTCTCTCTACTATTAAAACTGAAGGCTTTTTTTTAAAGTGTCCTTTTGTTTCACAAGTAATTACAACCAAATGCCACTGAAACATTTTAAAGCTATGGTTTTTATTAAATCCTTTATTTTTCAAACAAAAAAAATCGAGAAAATCTTTTAATCAAATAAAATATGCCACAAAATCTGTTTATTCCAACAAACAAAATATTGTCTTATTTTTAATGCCTTTCAACTAAGTCATAAAAGTCTAAATAAAAAAAAAAATCTATATTAGCGCTATCAATTGCAACCATATTTCTGAGGTTCCGAAGAAGGTGAAGATCAAAGTTAGGCGTTTTTCACAAAGTGATTTGTGATAATGGTGGAAATTCAGAGACAGTGGCAGAGATTGTGTTATCAGCGAATTTAAATCCGGAGAATACAATGTATTACTACTTATGTGTCAATCACCTTGGAGCTGCTAAGTGTTACCAAATAAGAGTAATAATAAACCCTAATTAAGTTTGTGCGATTTGTTGGACAGAAAAGAGAAATAGATCTTGGAAGTTACTGTTTGCCAAGAGGTTTCAGAGAAGTCTCTCAAGGCTTCTGGACAGTTTGCAGTTTGAGTTACATTCAAATTGTTAGTTGTTCTATTTGGTATCTTGCTTGCCATCTATGGTTTGGATTGTGTCCAGCTTTAACAGAATAAGT